CTGCCCTACTGTGTGAAAGTCCTAGTTCAGGAGGGTGCTGAATGCAGAACAGGCAAAGCCCACGTTATTGTGAGGGAGTCAGGCATTCTGTACACAAGTACACTCCACTAGACTGGGAATTCCGGGGGTGCTTGAACGGAGTTAGAACTACATGCCAAGCAACCCTTTACATGACCATGTGACTACCTAAAAGGGCTAATCCACCTAAAATCGATACCTTCTACAGTCAGTATTAGGGATGTACCGATACTAGTATCGGTGCAGATACTGAGTATTTGGGCGAGTACTCGTCCAAATGCTCCGATACCAAAACTTAACATGGAGGGACATGGAGCAGGCTTCCTAGCCAATCAGCATTGAACCGGCCAAACTGCATCGAGGCGGCTTCGCGGCCAATCAGGAATCCGAACGGTGGGTAATGGCCCGCTTGTCAGCTTCCCGATTGAACGGGAAGCCGGCTCAATGCTGATTGGTCGGGTAGCTGGCTTCCCAGCCAATCCACAGAGCCGACCAAACAGCATGGAGCCAGCTTCCCGGGCAATCAAGATGCCGGGCGGTGGGTAATGACACGCCCCCCCGGCTTCCCGATTGCCCAGGAAGCCAACTCCATGACAGTGGAAGTACCAGTATCTGTACTCGGTATCGACCAGTACCGAAACATAAATATTGGTACCCGACACGAAAAACCGATATCGGTACTTTCCTAGTCAGTATAAAATATTACATTGAGGGTAAGCTGACCCAAAGCAAACAGAAGCTGCCGTCCTCTGACTCCTGAGCTACATACTATCAAATACTTGCAGCTTCCCTGACCCAAAACACTGCACCACCCACAGGTCATCTTCCCTTCACTATGTGACTGTAATGTCTGAGAACAGTGTATGGAAGTGTAACATTTCACCCAGTGTATCTGTATTCCCGTAGATGTACTGGTGCATTGCTACTCTTCAGTCACACCATCTCCGTTCATCTGCATTAATCAGCTCAATGCAAGCACATAGAAAACAATGGTTCCCTGTGTACCTAGCGGTGGTTATGTGCCCTGCAATAGACGAGATGGTGTCAGTGGGCCTCCGCTGGCCAGAGTGCAGAGGGGAAGAGGCTGCAGGTGCCAGCAGGAGTGGGGATCAGGTAAGTAAAAGTCCTTTACCCAAAAATGAGCAGTGACCCCTTGCAGTGCGGAGGTAGTCCCACTGCAAAGGTTAAAAATTACTGGAACTGAACTAGCCTCATCTTTACCATAGGAATGAGTGGAAATGCATTTTTGGACCACACAAAGAAACGTTCTGGTCTGGACAGTGTGAATGGGCCCTAAAACATGCAATTCGGACAGTTCAGGCAGATTGACAGGCCATTAATCATGATAGTAGACATCTGCACAATACAGCAGAGGTCACCAACTTCCCTGTAGGATGGAAATGCTACCCATATTTTAGGTATCGAAAGCTGCCAAAGTTCAAAGATCATTCAAATTAAAAACAATTTGTCTGAGGAGTCGAGCACAAGTCTGGAGATTACTGTCCTATGTCTATGGGTAGGTCTTGGTCAGAGACTAAAAGGTGGCCATACATGGTTCGATTTTTTTCTTGTTCAACCCGCAGCCTGAATAAGAGTTATGCGGTCGAGATCACCGTCCAAGCTGATGGCATATCCACCGCTGGATATCGGATTCAAGCAGCTGCAGCAACTGGTGCTGCCAAACATGGACTTCATCAGTCTTTGATCAACGGTAATTTTTAGCCTTCTCAGTCAATTTATTAAATACATTTTGAAGCTGGGTGGTGCTTGAAGGGCCACACACAGATCGAGTTTTGTCTGATTCAGCAGGAATCGGAGGGAATTTCATCCGTCTATGGCCAGCTTAAACTGACACATTCAAATACCTTAAAGGAGAACCATGAGGTGAGTGCTTTTCACTCACCTCATAGTTCTAACTCACGCAGCTGGGCGGATCCCTGCACAATTGGCGAGATCCGCTTCAGCTGCGGCGTCTCAGTATACTGAGCCTAGGGTGACGGGACCAGCTGCAGCGAAACTACAAATCCCATGAGACATCTCTCTCCGGGAGTCATGTCTGGGGCTGTGAGAATCTTGCAATGCCTCATGGGATTTGTAGTTCCACCACAGCTGGAGGGCCAGAGTTTGGCTACCCCTGTTGTAGTCCATCACAGGAGTGAGCTTGGAGCGGTGACTACTTTACAACACACACAGGGAACATGGGGAACAATAGTAGCCCCCCTCCAGAAGGCAGGACAGTGTCCGCACCAATTCAGAGATGATTGGAGGATCTACAGCCGAGTGATACACAAATAAGATACATTTTTGTTAATAGTTAAAGGGAACTGAATGTTTTTTAAGATTTAACCCCTGAGCTTAGTGTCACTGTAACTCACCACCTCCATTAACTGGAATAAGGAAAGCCGTTCCAAATTCAGTATATTGTTGGGAAGTCACTATGCCCTTGCCGTGCTGGTTTTATAGTTTAACCCCAAAAAGTCCTTCAATAATCTCCTAAAGTACTGCAAAAAAAACAACGTGATTGCTTCAGGGCATTAAAACCCAGCACTGTTATTGGTTCACAAAAGCGGGACATAACTGGAGGCGAGCGGCCAAAATCTTCACAGAAAACAAATGTTATGTTCTAACGAGTCCAAAAACAAAAAACCAGACACAGGTAAATAACTTTTCTCTTTGTATATTTATGAATTTGTTGGAGTTCACCTGAAAAGCAGACATATACCAACATATTACACTAAAGATATGTGAACAGTCTAACTGCAGTGTAAAAATAACAGCAGAGCTGAAACATTTACCTTTGCCTGAAAACTGGAGCTCCGCAGCTCCCTTCTGCGACCTGTCAAGCGGACGCACTGTTCACGCTGCTTTTACAAAAGGCGCTAGGTGGAATAAGGTTCAGCCAGAGACGGCCAATCAGCTGCTTGAACAATGCTCCACCTCGCCGTCAGTGCCGAGGCAATGGTCACATGACTGACTGCAAGAGGGTGCCCGGAGTGCCGCTTTCTTAAGCAAATGTATTTTGATGCTTCACTTTATATATCGGTTGCAGCAAGATGGATGACATAGCTTTGACATCTGAGTATACGTCTGCTTTAAGTTCTTGTGTACAGGGACATTCAAAGAAATCTCTGTGGTGATGGAGGCATTCCATAGAGAAGATCATGTAAAAGCATGGAAGAAAAAAAAAAAATCACAGCAATTCCAGAATGATTACTATAAAGGTTTTCTTCAGCGAGAAGTTAATCAAATGTGATCAGTAAACTCCTAGAGAGAGAGGACAGGCATTGCACCGTGTGAAATCAGTCTACACTGGACAGCCCATAGGGAAAGTCTCATGGAAATGCCAAATCCGGGAGGAACAGCAGGAATGTCATCTCCAATGGTTACTCCTTGCCCGATGAACAACTAAATAAGCACTTGTCAAATTAGAAATATTAACAGGAATATTAAATAAAACAGAAGGTGCTCCGCCATTTTGCTTGAAGCAAACCATCCAGATACATACAGTGACGGCAGCCGTTCTGACCCAATATTCATCTCGGCAAACAGTATATCGGTTTGCTGGAAACCAGGGACGCCGCTAAGGTTATAACCCTACGATGGCTGCATTTACTGTGGGTATGAAACAAGCAATACATTGCTCCGGTCACTTTGCAGTACACAAAGGGGCTGACTAATTGAGAGTTGTAGCACTGTATGGCCACTAGGTGGAGCTGATGAGTATAGGAAATGTATATGCTCCTGAGCGCCATCTAGTGGCCATACAGAGCTCTGCGAGCGGTTCATAAATCACCCCTATAATGTCACGCAGGAAAAGGGTTGGGAAGTGTAATCAGTTATGAAGTTTCAGTCATTTTAAGTGTAAATTTTACTAGTAGAAGCAGTGGAAATTGTAGGTGAAACTTGGGGGGCTGGTATGAGGAGAGGGAACTACATAGAAAAACTTGAAAGTTAGGAGAGAATTTTGGCTTAGAGTCTTTCCTTTGCTTCTCATCATCCCTTTGGAGAATATCAGCACCATGAAACCCAAGCCACGCTCCCAGAACAATTATGGTTACATACATACAAAAAAAACAAAAAAACGTGGTAGTGCACTGCACACACACACTGAAACCTTCATATCTACCCTTTCCCAAGCTCTCTCTACACTTCATTCAGCGCAAACTACCCGTGTGCGAAGCCTCGGATGCAGCAATTATTGGTCTGCATATCACATTCTGGGCAATAACATTATGTCACACTGTCGCTACTGTTTTAAAGAAAGTTTTCTGCTAAAGGAGGCCAATAATACACACCTGGCTGGCAGGCGGGGAGCCCCAACTTTGCTCACTTGCAGAGCAACTGCAATGGCGGCTGAAGAAACTTCAAAAACCTGACACATGATCGTTAGCGTCCGATGCCTGGTCCCCCCGCGGCGCACTGTGGTTTATTCCGCTGGCCCCTACATTATTATAGGACCCAGTAATAAATGATTGGCCGCCAGGTGGGATCACAGCACGCAGCGGGGTTCCTGGAATCCCATACACTCAGTAGTGTGTCAGATGCTGAAGACTCTTGGCTCTGTAAGAGGACAGAGCCCACCAACTCACAGGTATTAATAATCTTTTTGGAATTTGTAAAGCTGTAACAATGTCACTTTTCACTCTATCACCCCAGGGCCAGTGTGCAGCCATGACAAAGCTCCCATCCAAGGCTTTTCACAAGGGTATTTGACAGGTTCTCTTACAGTCTACTGCAAAGTGACCGGTTTACTTACAATCTGAGTGTATAGAATCATCTCTTCCCCTTCAGCTGCCTGACTGATCCGTGCACATACCCTCAGCAGGAACTCTGAGATACCGCTCGGTTGTGCAACTGAACGGCCAAGTACATCTTTAGAAAGAAAAGGTGCACCGCCATTGTTTAAAAACATCTATGCTTATGCGGATAAAAAGGCATTGTTACAATGGCTCAAAACTGGTTTGCTTTTTTTTTTATGGTTTTTTTTTTTTTGTAGGTTTAATTTTTACATAAGAAAGTCAAAAAGAAGGGGACAGTTTCTTTTAACTGGAGAATGGCTTGCCGGTTTCCTCCTTTCCTTTGTACTTCCGTTTCCCGTGTGTGAATGGGATGTATCTGTATTTAATCATGTGCTGCAAGATAAAAGAAAAACAACGCACATTATTGTTAAGTCACTGAACTCCGGAGGAAAGCGCTGGGGCACAATCTACACACTGTGCAAAGATAGGAATTCTCTACAAACCACAACTATTTTTTAGTTATGGATAGAATGGGGAATGGTTCAAATCATTTCTTTCGCTGTGTGCGCCCCATTGGAGAGCTTTCTCTCCACTTCCTATCTCCTAAGACACAACAGAAAGGAAGGAGGAAATCTCTCCAGAGTGACGGGAAATCACCTTAAAAATCGACACTGGTACAGATTTCTAAACTGGACTTACCATCACCTCTTGTTCTATGGACACTTGCATGACAGTTTGGATTTCTTATTATTGTATGTCCCAATGACACATCACCTGGACAAATATGGGGGGGGGGGGAAATCGGACAACTACTAAAACCTGAGAGGGGTTCGAACTAGGGATGCACTGATGCTAGTAGGGGTATTGGTGCGATACACAGAATTTTGGCAAGTAATCGCCCAAATGCTCCGATACCTTCCCCGATACGGGAACTTCCAGTCGGAGGAAGATCTCGCTCTAACCTGCAGTGCCGAAGGGGCATGGAGCCAGCTTCTTTTCCAAACAGAAAGCTGGGCGGTGGGCTTCCTGATTGCCTAGGAAGCCAGCTTCACTTGTTGCCAGGCAGCCTGGCTTCCTAACCAATCAGGAAGCTGGGTGGCAAGTCATGACTCGTGTCCCGGCTTCCTGATTGGTCAGGAAGCCACGCTCCCTAGCAACAAGTGAAGCCGGCTTCCTAGCCAATCAGGAAGCTGGGTCATGACGTGCTGCTCGGCTTCCCGATTGGCTAGGCAGCCAGCTTCACTTGTTGCTAGGCAGCTTGGCTTCCTGACCAATTAGGACGCCGGACGGCACCTCATGATTAGCTGTCGGCTTCCTGATTGGTCAGGAAGCCAGGCAGCCTCGGCAAATGAAGCCGGTGTTCTTTCGCTAGACAGGCAATCAGGAAGCCAGGCAATGGGTCCTGATCCGCCGCCTGACTCCTGATAATCGCGGCACGGGTATCGGCGAGTATCAAAAAAAAAAAATATCGATGCTCAATACCAGAAAAACAGCATCGGTGCATTGGTTCTAACCCTTGCCTACTATCCAAAACTTGACAAATAAAAAAGTTTTGCCGTTAAAGTGCCCAGACTACAGGCATTCCATTTTCTAAAAATTTTTAACCAGCAGTAAAAAGAGTTTTCAAACAAGACGCCCGTCTCTATGGCTGCATTTCCTGTGAAGTAATTCCACATCAAAGCAAGGACTCTGAAGTTGGGTTTCAGTGGCCTATAAGACTGCAATGCAGCTACATCACGTCTGCAGCATGATTGCCCCTCAGGTGCAGGCTAACAAAGTGCCACCTTTCAGGGTAGAGGATGAGGATTGGTGAGTGGGGGATTTAGCACTGGGTTTTGTACTGCTGGATTCATCACTTAAAGATTTTATATCAGTGCAACTCCCGTGGAGCGCAGCTTTGGTGGAATTTCCCTATCCGTAGCATCTTACAGCACATAGTGTTTGTTCACATTAAATGGCTAACATTCCGGCAAGTCCTGCTGCCATGCAAAAAAAAAGGGGGATTGAGTTGTGCTTAGAGGATAATGGTCATCTCTGAGATGGCACTTGGCACATACAAGCCAATTTCATAGGCTGCCCACTGGGGATGAACAATGCTCAGATGCAGAAGGCTGTGGCAGTGGAAGCTTAATTCCTCATGCATCTGAGGTCAGTATTAGAAAGGGGAACTTTGATGAGGAGCGCATAAGGGAAATCAAAATTTAGATTTATATTAAAAGTACCCGTATCCTTTAACACATTTAAATAAAAGCATTTAAAAAAGCGCCCAATACTTTTGGGAGAGTCGTATGTTTGGCCACCTGTGTTGTGCTGCAGTTCCAAGCGTTACTGTGTGTTGTAGTGTCCAGAGGATGGAACCACAGCGCCCAGCGAGGGACCAAGCATCCAACACCTCCGGAAGTCTTCTGCAAGCTTAGCTTTACAACATTGTGAAGACTGGCCGCAGGACTGTTAAGTATTAAAGATTTTAACAGTTTTTTTTAGAACATAATACCAAACTTGCCTTTATTTGTCTTTTCATTGTTATGCAGAAAAGCATGATAAAATACATGACGAGGATAGGCCAAAATACAGGGACGTTGAATGCATCAAAGAAGGTGCACACCATGGCAACAACGATTCCTTTAGTGGCGGAGTGCCTGGAAAGCAAAGCAGAAACAATAATGTGACATGTGTGTACATGTTTAAAAGAGCAACTTAGAAACGGAAATCCGCTACTGGGGACCCCTCATAATTTAAAAGCATGCCCCCCACTCCGGAACACAGGAGCTGTGCTTGCAAATTCCTACCTACAGTGCCACTTGCTGATGACATTTGGCATCCTTGTGCACACTTAAGGATACAATAGTTCTCTGCAACCACCTGTGTATCTGACTGAGTAACCACTAATCTACAGAGTCCAATCACCATGCCAGGGATGTGAATCTCATTTCAGACAGCTCAGAACACAACTTTGGATGCATCTTTATATTTGCCCATTAATAAAACAGCAAGTGTGGAACCATTCTTTACCACAAGGGATACAAATGACTAAGCAGGGCACTATAAAGAGCTGATTTGGGAAGTGGTGGCCCCTACAGATCCCCAGGGGTATCTATAACAAAGTACACCCCTTGTGTCCCACCCAGCTCCAGGCAGAGCATCCCAGGTTGCTATGTTCCAGGCCAGGAGATGTGTAAGGACCATGCACATCTCCCCGCCTGGCTCTTAGCAACCCCGGAACACTCTGGCCGGTGTTCCACCCTGCTCCTGGCAGCCAGTGACATCATTGGTTGCCAGGAGCTGTGCGGGATGCCGGACAGAGAGCCCCTGCTTGCTAAGAGCCGGAGTTGTGTATGAGCTGGACTAGACATCTTATTACTTCTACACACCCGCTCTGCCACTGATTACACGAACCAGAAGCTTCTACAGCGGCTTACAAGAATCTATGAAGAGGTTTACTGAGCCTAATTTTTATTTTAGGGAAATAATTATGTTTTTTGGGAAGTGCTTTCTATTCTAAAGCATGACATTAACACTCTGTCCAGGGCTTGAAAAATTTTAGGGTGTCTCACCAGTCAGTCAAAAACTTCACCAGTCAGCATGACCAGACTATAGCCTTGCAATTTAGGTTAACATTTTTTGGGGACAGATAGAGCTTTCTTTTGGTGGTACATAATCACCACTGGGGAGTGTTTATTTTTTACTATATAATGAAAAAAGCACCATAAATTTCGGGGAAATTTTTTCCCCCCCTACGTTATGTTAAAAAACATTTTATTCTTACCCATATTTTTGGTAAAATATAAAAAGACAGAGCCACATCAGGTAAATAGACACCAAACATGCCGAGACTTAGAATTGCACGTGCCCGCAAAATCGCATAAAACTACCACACTGAAAATTGGCCATAGGTGACGCTTTAAATGCTTTCACTGCTCATCAGTTTAGTGTTATCAGTAATTAATGGGCCTAAAATTATTGCTCACACTCCAACGTTCGCGGTGATATGTAACATGTGCGGGACAATAGGTGCAATCGTCGTTTTCGCACATAAGAGCACCCGCCACATGTTTGGGGGG